CAACAAAGCAGGCTCCAGGCTCTGAGCTGTCATCACAGAGCCCGACGTGGGGCTCGAACCTACAAACCATGAGATCATGACCTGAGCCGAAGTTGGACGCTTCATCAGCTGAGCTACCCAGGCACCCCTATTTATTTTTAAAGATAAATTATATCATAAATGCATACTTTCACTTCAGTTCACAAACAAGACTATAGGATTTTTAAAAAATGTTTATTTATTTATTTTGGGAGAGAGATTGAGCAGTGGAGGGGCAGGGAGAGAGGGAGACAGAAATCCCAAGCAGGCTTCGCATTGTCAGTGCAGAGCCCAACATTGGGCTTAAATCCACAAACCGTGAAATTGTGACCCAAGCCGAAATCAGGAGTCCGATGCTTAACCAACTGAGCCCCCCAGGTGGTCCCCCAGGACTACAGGATTTTTATTGACCTCATCTTACTTCTGTATTTTCTTTCTTCCATCCCCAAATCCTAGTTCTCAATGACACCAACATAATTCATCGTGTGTTTCATCCCATGGGATAAACACAGCAGCTTCAAAATAACCATGCCCACACTGTAATCAAGAACGTATTTCACTAGGCACATGCGGTGAAATTAACATGTTTTAAGTCTCTTGGAATGGTGTCTCTGACAATTTTGCTGCCACTGGAATTTACAGTGGGTTGTTTTCATTTGATTTTTGATTTTTAGGGAATGCTTTTCCATTTTTCCTTTTGCATTTCATTCTGCTTCATAATTATGCAAACTATTTGGTGATTCCACAATTTGATATGGTTCTAAAATCAAATCTACCAAAAAGATATTCAAGGAGAGGCACCTGGGTGGCTCAGTCAGTTAAGCATCTGACTTTGGCTCAGTTCATGATTTCACGGTTTGTGAGTTCAAGCCCTGCATTGGGCTCTGTGCTGAAAGGGCAGAGCCCACATTGGATCCTCTGTCTCCCTCTCTCTCTGCCCTTCCTTTGCTCTCTCTCTCTCTCTCAAAAATAAATGTTAAAAAAAAAAAAGATATTCAAGGAAATCTACGTTCTACAATCACCCCTTCTGATCTGTTATCTCCCTACTTCTGTTGTTACCCCACTATTCCTTTTCTTTTAAAAACATAAATAAAAATGTGGATATATTTGTATTCCTTCTGTTTTTTAATTTAACTTTATTTTTCACTTTTTAAAATTTACATCCAAATTAGTATATAGTGAAGCAATGATTTCAGTAGATTCCTTAATGCCCCTTACCCATTTAGCCCATCCCCCCTCCCACAACCCCTCCAGCAACCCTGTTTGTTCTCCATATTTTGTTTTGTCCCCTTCCGTGTTTCTATATTGTTTCCCTTCCCTTATGTTCATCTGTTTTGTCTCTTAAAGTCCTCATATGAGTGAAGTCATATGTTTTTTAAATTTTTTAAATGTTTCTTTAATTTTGAGAGAGACAGAGCACAAGCAGGGGAGGGGCAGAG